CCACCCCAGCAAAGATGTAATCTGATTCCTGTGTAGACCATCAGGTGGGGTCCATGTGTATAGTCACCATTGATATTTCTTACAAAAGGTGTTTGCAATGAATAGATCATTGATTGTACAGAATTCTTTCATTCTGTCTTCAGTCTCATTTCTATAACAAAGTTCATACTTTCTGACTACTTATCCTTCTTCCCTGTTCCCAAATTTTGCATTCCAATCACCCATAATTATCAAAGCATCTTGGTTACATGTTCAACTGATTGAGATTGCTAACAGCTTCAGCTTGCTTGGCTCCACAATCAACACTCTTGGTACCAGCATCCAGGAAATCAAAAGATGAATTACATTGGGGAAATCTGTTATTAGAGACCTCTCCAGAGTACTAAAGAGCTATGATGTCAGTCTAGAGACTAAGGCATGCCTGGTCTTTACAAACTTGCTTTGCATCAGAGACCACAGATGACAGAGGAAGAAGAATTGATTCCTTTGAGTTGCGGTGCTGGAGAAGAACATACCTTAGACTGCCAAGAGAATAAATAGATCTATCCTGGAGAGGGTGAAACCAAGATGCTTCTCAAATGCAAGGATTTTGAGGCTGTTTCACATACTTTGTGGATGTTGCCAGGAGTCACTAGTCCTTGGAGAAGGACATTATGTTTGGAAAGGTGGAAGGACAGTGCAGGATAGAAAGACCCCAGATGAGATGGATTGACTCAGTCACTGGGGTAATAGAGAGTGCGTGTGTCACAGACAGCAAGATTGGCTCAGAAAAGAGCAGGGTTTAGAGATATTGTATGTAGGGTCACTTTGAATCTCAGTTGACTTGAAGGCCCATAACACCAACAAAGATGACCGCCCTAGCCTGGATGCAGAACCAATGAATTCTTTTCTGATCTACATCCTCCAGACCAATTATCAGATAACAACCTCTTGACTGCATCCCTAGGTGTTGTTGTGTACTGTTGATTTGGTGCCCAACCGCAGCTAACCCTCCAGTGAGTTTTCAGAGACAGTTAATTGCAGCCAATGGATTGTTATCATTCTCCAATGGAGCAGTACTGGATTCAAACCACATGCCTTTGCATTGGCAGCACAATTCCTAAATACTAAGCTGCTTTATCTCCCTGAAGCCCCTAGGCTCATGGAATGCTGCAACGCCCTCAGAAGGACCAAGTTGAGATTAATAGTAAGACTAGTCAAGAGAAACTCTAGGAAACATCATTGTGGGTGTTTAGCTGGAAGAAATGAAGACTATCAAAGTTGAATCTTTTACATTTATGAAGCAGGAGCAGCATCCACTTACTAAACAACATGCCTCAGGAAACTCTATGAACTTTGATAAATGTCAATAGTTATAGAAAGTCTCAGGCCTTTTGTTCATAAGGATCATTTTGAGTCATGCTCAAAGGTAATCAACAACAACAAGGTAACAGATAATTAGGAGGAAAGAGAAAAACCTAGATGTATTTAGAAATAGAAAAACTGAAGCAATTCAGAGATATGCAAATCTGAACCCAAACTCCCATAATGTTGCTATTGTCATTAATATCCATTTTATTATGAACTTTTCTCTAAATAGTAACAGAAAATGGGCAAAAGCAGCATTTGAACTCCAAGCTGATCAAGAGTAACTCTTTGGGTATGGCTACCACTGTTTTTAACAGAGACATAAATTTATCAAGGAGGAACTCTCAAGGAGCTAAGCTCCTAGCCTTGGCTATACAAGGCTGCCAGAAAGCTGCCACCTCAGATCACTTCAAAATGCCCAAAGGTAAGTGTTTTTGCTATGGGAAACCAAGACACTATGAGAGCCTAGCCAGGGCAAGCCAAATGTACCAGTAAAAACTTTCCATAAACTGTGCTCCCATGTAATCAAGTTGGGTATTGAGCATGTGATTGTTGTGGTCTGAAGAAAGTGTAATGGGAGTCATCAAGCCCATGTGTTGGGAGAATTCCCAAAAGGCTGAAGAGCAGGGATGTTAGTCTATAGACTAAAGTGTGTCTAATCTAGGCCATGGTCTTCACAATTACTTGCTATGCATCAGAGAGCTGGACAATAATCAAAGATAATGGATTAAATTAATGCCTTTGAGTTGTGGTGCTGGAGAAGAATATTAAACATACTATGGACTGCCAAGAGAACTAACAGCTATGTCTTGGAGATAGTGAAACCAAGCTGCCTCCTTGGAGGCAAAGATTTTGAGAATTTTGCTCTGTCTCATATACTTTGGGCATGTTGCTAGAAGGATTAATCTTTGGAGAAGGCTATTATGCTTGGAAGGGTGGAGGGACAGCAGAGGAGAAGAAGACCCTGGATAAGATGAATTGACACAGTGACTGGGGTAATGAGGGTAGGTATGTCAGAGACAGTGAGATGGGCTCAGGATAGAGAAATGTCCAGAGCTATTGTTCATAGAATTGCTGTGAGTGATAGTCAACTTGACAGCATGTAACAATAACAACTATCTAATTTTTTCACCACAACATAAACTTTGAAACTTGGAAAAAATAGAATGGTTTTTATAAAAAGAGTGAAGGGAAAGACAGTAAGATATGAATGGACAATGAGACACTGTGAGTATTGTAATTGATGCTATGGAACTATCACATGAATGATCATGAATGGCTAAAAATGTGCATGAATGATTGAAAATGTGCATGACTGATTGAAAAAAAAAATACTTTAAAGTTCCCCTCATATCACAAAGAGAGAGAGAGAGAGAGAAATCTCCAAATGAAAACACCTCACCATGGAAGAAGAATGGAAATGTGATTAATGATATGTGGAAACAAGTTGGCCTGTGGAGAAGGAAGCCCAGGCTTAGAAAAATATCTGCAAAAGACTCAAGCAAGACCCACACCTCACTCCATACACAAAAACCAACTCAAGGTGGATCATGGACCTAGGACTAAAAC